CCAGCGAAATCGAAGAGTCGTGCTGCGGAGGAAAAGAGACGCAAGGACCCCACCGAACAAGGTGCTTTTAACATTTCACATAACTTTTCCTTCTATTTATACTCGTATTATATATCTATATCATATTTTACATTTCATATTCTGCATTGCCTTACGCTTTTGGTTTTCCTATATAAGCCTGCATCTGGCTTGAACCCTTCTGTTTTTAAAATGGCGAATTTACAGCAGAGAAGCGTGGTCACACGTCATATAATGAGAAGAGACAAAGGAAAGCATCAGAATCTCCTCCACCCAAACAAAGGTTTGTTGTTACCTTATTTTCTTTCTTCCACGGGTTTATTTAGCTCAGTCTCTCATTTTTTAGATCTCCCCAAGCTTCGAAGGAAGCGAAGCCAAGTTCTAGATCGAAGAAAGATGAGCTGTTAAAGTCTAGGGATAAACCCAAAGAGTGAGTCCCTCGTTATGAATTGGAGTAGTTTTATATGTGACGGCCGGTGACTTTCTTTTACACAGCGGTTATAATGTCTTGAATTATAGCGGCGTGGATACACGTGGACTAAGCTGTTTTTGTTGGTTTATTTTTTTTTCACAAAATTCTTGAATTATTTGTAGATCCGAATCGGCTGGCCCACGAAGCAAGAGGAGTCGGTCTCGATCTGAAAGCCCCGGCAACAAGAGAGGGCGAGAAGAAACAAACGAAAGGCTCGAGCCTAGTAAAAGTAAAGGGAGTAATAAAGGGCATCGTTCATCGTGAGTTGTGGTTATCCTATCTTTACGAACTTTTTGAATGCTTATTTGATAAAGTTTAAGTTCGCCATCCGAGAGACGCTCGCGTTCGCTAGAAAGACAGTCATCGCAAATAAAATCCAAAAATAGTGTAGAAGAATCGCGTTCGAAAGATGTCGGTGACCGTTCACCACAAAGGTGAGCTTATTCTAGTGTATCATCTTTTTTTTTTCTTTAAGCTTTGTTCCAATGAGATGTTTTCAAGGGTTTAAGCAGCTCACTGTTGGAAATACCAGCTGAAATTTTGCCTCGAATTAAGCTTTTTCATTATTTAAATCGCTACAGAAACAATATTGAAGAGGTCTATTAGGGTTAATGCGAAATATCTAATCTCTCATAGATTTATAAGCTTTTTGGAACTTCTTTTTCAAATATGCATAAGACAATGAGCACAGCTTCTTTCAGAGAATCCCGTAAAATAGAACACAAACACAAGCACGCTGAACGCGACTCATCTAGTGGCTCTGAGAAGGACGAGATAAGAGCAGAAGAAGAGAAGAAAGCGAAGAAGAAGCATAAGAAAAAGAAATCAAAAGAATCGAAAAAGAAGCACACTCATTCGTCATCTGATGGCGAAGATTCAGACGAAGAAACTCATAAGAAGAAGAAAGCAAAGAAATCCAAAAAGAAGAAGAAGCACAGTGAAAAACACAAAAAGAAGCACCACGAGTCGGAGAGCAGTGCAGCGTCAGGTCATGATTCTCATGCCAGTGAGGAAGAAAAGAAGGAAAAGGAAAGAAAGAAGGCGGATGAAACTAAAAAGACCGAGGATAGGGGAAGAGAGCGATCACCAGAGCTGAAAAGAGAACGCGAAAGATTGATAGATGAGGAGAAGGAGGAGAAAAAGAGACGTTCCGACGAGCTTCTGGAAAAACCTGCAGAGAAGGAACGTCGCGAGAAAGAAAAGGAGAAAACAGAAAGGTTTAAAGGAGAAAGCCCATCTGCCGAAGACCGAAATGCTCGTCGACGAAAACACGAATCTCTGACAGAGGAGTCACCTTCACCGGAAAAGAGAAAAACGCAAGCAGAAGAGAAGAAAAGAAGTGGAGGTGATAGGTCCTTTGAATCGCAATCGCGAAAGGAGAGAAGCAAATCACCGTCCAAAAGAGGAAGGAGTAGGTCTCCATCAAAAAGAGAAAGGAGCAAGTCTCCTGCACGAAGGGAGCGAAGCAAATCTCCGGGACGACA